CTTCTCGCCTTGGCTTCGCATCCCTTTACCCAGCCGTGCGGAAAGTTCCGCTTAGTAACCCGGATTTCCGGATGAGCAGTGAGGAAGTCGCGGAGCTCTTGTTTACCCCATTCATTGTACCCTACTGGCGGAGACAACTCGGAATGTCGAGGATGACTTGGTTCCATTATACTACTATCGCCCTCGCTTCCAATATAGAATCCCGCTCGGACAAAAAAGTCGGGGTCACCGAACAAAAGATCGTGACGCCTACTTTCATGGACTCGGGAAGCGTGGATTGCTGCCCACAGATGGAGCCACCAGCAAAGAAGCCGCGGCTGCCGCACCCGAAGGGGGACCCTGAGGTAGCGGCGCAGAACAAAGAAATACAGGCGCAGCGCAAAGTGGCCGCCAGAAAAATAAGCAGACAAGCCGAGAGAAATGAAGCCCATATGCAAAAGTTTTCGCTGCCTGCGGACGGCTTCTATCTTCACAAGCTTGATGAGTGTGTTGTCAAGGATGCAGTGGCTAGTTATGATAAGGTCAAGGAGGGGTTCGCGGAAAAGAAGAGGAGAAATGGATGGACGACTTACTTCGGAACGGACACGACCGCGCAGGCAAAGCGAAGTGGGCGATGGATGAACGCCAAACTTAAACTTAAGCTTTCTACACATGCAAATTTAAGCAACATCACAGGTACAGGTACGATGGGAGAGGTCGTATTGGCTACGGAGGAGAATGTTGACCAGCAGATAATGCATACAGACCATGTTTGGACCTGCGGAACGCTGACATCAACTGCGATATTATGAATTGGGACTATTCCCACATTCCCGCAGGATACTACGACGCTATTTGGAGTTCGCCCCCTTGCGAGAAATTCTCTCATCTCCGCCGTTCTTGGATTGGACGCAAGTTGAAAGCCTTTGGAGACGTGCCCGTGACTCCCGAGATGCTCAACGAGGATATGGTGGCAAAAGGTCTACCAATTACCGCCCCGAATCGCCCGTATTTTAAATCCCCCCCCATTAGCCCCATCCCCAATAGCCCCGAATATCCCAGTGTAGGTTCAACAGCAACGCAAATCGGCACCGTGAAGCACACGTCAACATGAAGTATCCCATTTTGTTGAAGTCAAGGTGAAGGCAAGTTGAGGTGGTATATCATATGATATCCGCCCCATAACCCCCGCCGATTTACCCCCGCACGGGGGTTAAACAAGGCGGGGGTTATGGGGCGGATATCATAATATGGGGCGGATTCCATATGGGCGGGGTGAAGCGCCCTGCCTTACGCGCGCGGCGCGCCTGTTTTGTTGCGCTGCCGCTCATCACACAACCTTGACTCGCTTCGCCTGGCTTCATGGGGCCGCGGGCGGCGCGACGGGCTTGTACATGAGCGTCGCGTCGCCGACGGCGTGCTTGAGGCCCGCGGAGAAGGACGGGTCGACGTTCTGCTTGGCCTTCATGGCGGCGCTCATGACGGCGTGGTGGGCGAGCAGCGCGTCCGTGTAGTCCTCCTTGGTCTTGAAGGGCGAGCCGGGCGTGCCGAAGGGCTTGCAGCGCTGGCAGAGGCAGTAGTTCGAGATGAGGTCGATGATCTTCGCGCAGTGCTCCTCCTTGGTGTTGATCCAGCGCGTGATCTGGTTCAGGACGAGCGGGCCCTCGGACATCTTGCCGTAGAGCTCCTGGATCTGCGCCATGGCCTTCTCGATCGTCGCGCACGCCTCGAGGAGCTCCGCGACGAGCTTCGGGTCGTCGAAGATGCCGCAGGGCACCTGGCAGTGGCCGCCGCGAAGACGAAGGACGAGGTGGAGCGTCGACTCCTTCTGGATGTTGTAGTCGCTGAGCGTGCGGCCATCCTCGAGCTGCTTGCCCGCGAAGATCAGGCGCTGCTGGTCCGGAGGGATGCCCTCCTTGTCCTGGATCTTCTGCTTCACGTTGTCGATCGTGTCCGAGGGCTCCACGTCGAGCGTGATGGTTTTGCCCGTGAGCGTCTTGACGAAGATCTGCATGATTTTTGAAGGCGGCGGCGAGGCGGCAGTCGGAGCTGGTGGGCATTTATTGTGAAATATACCAATAAGTCAAAAAAAATCTATTAATTTATATGAATATCAAACTATTAATTGTAGCTTGTTTAATTGTTATTGTATTGTTCTCATTTCAAAAATATTTAAGACATAATAAAAATAAAACCAAGGAGAATTGGGCGCGAAGCTCTGGATTCGATGGCTTCGCGGTCGGCAACATCATCTCGCCACAGCAACACGAACTGCTGAGCCATCTCTCTGGGCAGCCTCGGAAATATGGTCATCATGGACCGCCGCCCGTCGGGGAAGGCGGCGGTGCTGTCATTCCCGGAGACGGAGCGCCTCAGCAGCGCCAACCTCATGGCCGTGCCCATGTACCTCCAGCACGGGTTCACGAGCATCTGCACGGCGTCGGCGCTCGCGGAGACGGGCGCGCTGCGCTACATGATGGAGCACGAGCGCTGGAGCCTGCGGAGCCTCTGCGAGGGCCTCAAGCTCCAGCCGGGCTACACGAAGAGCTGTGTCCACCTGCTCGTGTCCCTCGACCTGCTCGTCGACGAGGGCGGCGGCGGCTACCGGCGGGGCCGCGACTTCGACGACTTCGTGCGGCTGCCCTTCGAGTCCATCGAGAAGTACCTCAGCTACGACTTCGCCAAGGTCTTCGACCAGAACGTCAACGCCTTCTTCGCCCAGATCGACCTCACGGGCCCGAAGCTGCCGCGGGTCCAGCTGCTCCTCGAGAGCTTCTACCTCGCGCCCATCGTCATCTACCTCCGCATGTACGTCCAGGGCACGTCCGAGGCCTTCAAGACGACGCACCTGCGCCTGGACGAGTCGTCGCTGGGCCCCAGCGTCCTCGCCATCTTCCAGGGCCTGGGCTGGTGCGCGGACAACACGTCGAAGCTCACGTACATGGGCATGTACGTGCTCTCGACAGCGCTGAACGCGGGCGTGCCCATCTCCTACTATCCCATGTTCCAGGAGCTGCCGAAGATCCTCATGGGCGACGGGTCCATCTTCGCGGCCCAGGAGGCCGACGGCCACGAGGTCCACGTCGACCGCGTGCTCAACGTCATCGCGTCGGGCGCGCAGCACAAGCGCTTCTTCGAGCACATGTGCAACGGCGTCTTCAATCGCGTCTTCGACGACCAGCCCCTCGAGGACCAGCCCGCGGCCGTGGCGGACATGGGCTGCGGCGACGGGCGCTTGTTGCTGACGCTCTACGAGTACGTCCGGGACCACACGAAGCGCGGCAAGCACCTCGACAAGTTCCCGTTCACGGTCATCGGCATCGACTTCAACTACGAGTCGCTCGACGTGACCAAGGAGACCCTCGGGTCCCGGAACATCCCCTTCGAGGTCCAGTGGGGCGACATCGGCGACCCCGACGCGGCCATGGACGAGCTCGAGAAGCGGGGCTTCCCGCGCGACAGCGTGCTCCACGTGCGCACGTTCATCGACCACGACCGGCCGTACATCGCCCCGAAGCGGCCCGGCGACGACTACGCCATGTACGCCCACGGCGTCTACAACAAGAACGACGGCACCATCATCGACCCGTCGACGATGCTCCAGTCGCTGGTCGAACACCTCGAGCGCTGGAGCGACGCCGTCGGCGTCCACGGCATGTGCATCCTCGAGGCGGGCCAGCTCCCCGCGCGGCTCGCGGGGCAGCACATGGAGCAGTGCGTGAGCCTGGCGTTCGACAACTGCCAGAGCCTGAGCCACCAGTACCTCGTGCCGCTCCCCCAGTGGCTGCTCTGCGCGGCGGGCGCGGGCCTCTTCCCGGACGTGACGTCGCTGCGCGCGTTCCCGGACAACGTGAGCCGCATCATGCTGAGCCACTTCAAGCCGCGGGGCTACAAGGTGCGCCACGCGCGGCCGAGCGACCTGACGCGGTGCCTCGAGCTCGAGGCCAAGTCCTGGGACCCGGACATGCGCACCGCGGCGTCGACGGTCGAGCGGCGCTTCGAGGCGCTTCCGACGTGCAACTTCGTCATGACGCGCGACGACGTCGTCGTCGGCGTCGTCTTCTTCCAGTTCCTCGACGACGTCGACGCGCTCCTGCGGAGCACGTGGAAGAAGAAGGACGCGCTCGGCAAGGAGTCGGGCCCGCGGATCCAGCTGCTCGACATCTTCGTCGACTCGCAGGTGTCGTCGACGATGGGCGGGTCCATCGGCCAGGAGCTCCGGGACTTCGTCATGTGCTACGCGTGCGTGCTGCGGAACGTCACGGAGATCTGCGGCGTCACGCGTGCGCGCAACTTCCGCGCGTTCGCCGACAAGGGCGAGACGTACGAGACGTACTGCCTCCGGAACAACGGCGTCCACGACAGCGGCCTCGCCCTCCACTCGCGGGCCGGCGCGACGCTCCACAAGGTCGTGCACAACTGGCGGCCCGAGGACGGCGACAACGACGGCAACGGCGTCTACATGTCCTACGCCGTCGGGCCGCCGGCGCCGCGCCAGGCGAAGCCGCCCGCGCCGCCCGCGAAGGCGACCGGCGTCACGCCCCCGGTGGCGCCGTCGCCGCCCGCGTCGCCTTCGAAGAAGAAGAAGAAGGAGAAGGTGGCGAAGCAGTCGAAGTGGCCCGCGTACGTGCCGCCGCCGTGCGTCCGGCCCGAGCCCAAGCCGCTGCCGAACAACCCGCTGCGCATCTGGAAGGCGAAGATGGACGCGGGCCTCATCCCGCCGCCGGAGAAGCGCCTGGGCGGCCGCCAGAAGGTGCCCCAGCGCGTCGTCCACCCGGAGCCCTACATGTTCGACGAGATGGCCAAGTGCGACCTCCTCGCGATCCCCATGTACCTCCAGCACGGCTTCTGCCTGCTGAGCATCTGCAGCGCCATGGCGGACCTCGACGTGAACATCACGCTCTGGATGCACAAGTTCCAGGCCTTCAACGTGCGCGAGCTCTCCGAGAAGCTCGAGCTGCGGCCGGGCTACTGCACGTCGCTGATCAACTCGCTCGTCACGCTCGGCTTCATCCGCGAGCGGAGCATGTGGGGCGACGAGGTCCAGTACGAGGTCGACATGGAGGTGTTCAACGACCTCATCCGCCTCCCCTACGAGCCCATCGCCGACTACCTCAAGTTCGACTTCGCGTCCATCTTCCGCGACGACGTCGACGTCTTCCCGACGATGGACCTCCAGGGCCCGAAGATCCCGAAGATGCAGCTGCTCCTCGAAGGGTTCTACCTCGCGCCCATCGTCATCTACCTGCGCATGCACCTCCACCCGTCGTCGGCGGTCTTCGCGGCGACGCATCTGAATCTGAAGTCCGTGCCGGTCATGGCGCCGACGCTCATCCAGATCTTCCGGCGCCTCGACTGGCTCGACAAGGGCACGATGAAGCTCACCTACAAGGGCACCTACGTCCTCGCGGCGGCGCTGAACGCGGGCGTGCCCATTTCGTATTATCCCATGTTCCAGGAGCTGCCGAAGATTTTGAAGGGCGACGGGTCCATCTTCGCGGCGCAGGAGGCCGACGGCCACGAGGTCCACGTCGACCGCGTCCTCAACGTCGTCGCGTCGGGCGCCCAGCACCGCCGCTTCTTCGAGCACATGTGCAACGGGCTGCTGAGCCGCGTCTTCAACGACGAGCCGTTGGAGCAGCAGCCCCGCGCGGTCGCGGACATGGGCTGCGGCGACGGGCGCTTGTTGCTGACGCTCTACGAATACGTGCGGGACCAGACGAAGCGCGGCAAGCACCTCGACAAGCACCCGCTCACGCTCATCGGCGTCGACTTCAACGACGAGTCGCTCGAGGTCACGAAGGCGACGCTCGCGCGCGCGGGCGTGCCCTTCGAGGTCCAGTGGGGCGACATCGGCGACCCGGCCTTCGTGGTGGAGGCGCTGGAGAAGAAGGGCTACGCGCGCGACTCCGTGCTCCACGTGCGGTCGTTCCTGGACCACGACCGGCCCTACGTCGCGCCGAAACGGGACGCGGACGCGTTCCGCATGTACACGCGCGGCGTCTACGTGAGGAACGACGGCGACGTCATCGCGCCCAAGACCATGCTCCAGTCCCTCGTGGAGCACCTCGAGCGCTGGAGCGACGCGGTCGGGTTCCACGGGCTCTGCGTGCTGGAAGCCGGGCAGCTGCCGCCGCTCGTCGCGGGCTACGAGATGGAGCGCTGCGTGAGCCTGGCCTTCGACTGCTGCCAGACTTTGAGCCACCAGTACCTCGTGCCGCTGCCCCAGTGGCTCGTCTGCGCGGCGGCCGCGGGCCTGTTCCCGGACGCGCACTCGCTCCGGACGTTCCCGGAGTCCGTGAGCCGCATCATGCTGAGCCACTTCAAGCCCCGGGGCTACAAGATCCGCCACGCGACGCTCGACGACCTCGACGCCGTCGTCGCGCTCGAGGCGGGCTGCCGCGGCCTCGAGCTCCGGACGCCGCGGAGCGTGCTCGAGAAGCGACTGAAGGAGCGCGCGCGCTTCAACTTCGCGCTCCACGAGGGCGGCGCGCTGCTGGGCGTGCTCTTCTTCCAGTTCGTCGACGACATCCCGACGCTCCTCGAGTCCCAGTGGAAGGACCGCGACAAGCTGGCCGTGCCGGAGTCCGCGGCGACGCACGCCATGATCCTCGACGTCTTCGCGGACGACGCCGCGGACTCGTCGCTCCGCGGCGCCGTCGCCGCGGAGCTCCTCAACTTCCTGCTCTGCTACGCGCGCGCCCTCTCGGCGAACGTGGCCGAGATCTGCGGCGTCGTCCGCGCGGCGCGCTTCAAGACGGCCCCGAAGATCGGCGACGGGTCCTTCGAGGACTACGTCTTCACGGACAACGGGGCCCACGACCCGGCCCTGGCGCTCCACGCGGCCGCGGGCGCCAAGGTCCAGGCCATCGTCGACAACTGGTGGCCCGAGGACGGCGACAACGGCGGCAGGGGCGCCTACGCGACCTACGTCGTCGGCGCGCCGCCGTTCCTTAACGATTGTGTCCTGGATGAACGTCTTTGCCCAGGGAAGTAAACAAATAGCCCAGGGAAGTAAACAAATAGCCCAGGGAAGTAAACAAATAAATGAATCAAACTAAATATAAAAGTCTAGCTGATATTTACACGAGGCGTCCGCGTCGATGCGGGCAGCCTGAAGACGATGGGTGCACCTCATGCATGACGCTCTGCCGGCGACGCGTGACGCCGCCTCGCCGGAGGAGGTGGCGCCGCTTGCAAGGAGACGCAGAAGGTAGTTCTCACAACATCGATGCCATTACCGCGGCACTCAACTCTCTTTCGCCGGACGTTCTTCGCCCACGCAACTTCTCGCAACCGCCACGCGTAATTGAAACTGAATCCTGCGGTGCCTGCAAAATGAGCTGAGAACTAGCTACAGAGGAACAAAGAAACTCAGTCCCGGGGTTGTCAAGTTCGTGTTTATTCGGATGACGATCATCGCCGGGGAATCCCGGTCTTCCGTTCTCTGCTTAGCTCGAGGCACATTCCCATTGTCGAATCACCAACCATACCATGACATTCGTGCTAGGGTTTTTGGAGATTGACTTCAACATCAACCTATACCTCAAGCAGTCGGTTCCCGAGGCCATCCTGATGGCGAGAGTAGAATGACCTGCGATAATAATATCTCAGTATCATTCTCTCTCTCTCCTTCGGCAGTTCCCTGGATCATCAGAGGTAACCTGCAAACACCCCCCCACTGGGCCCCAGATACTGCTCGATGCGCCACGGCTGGGCCGACTTCGTGCGGTGCCGCGACAGTGCACACTTGTTTTGAGGGACAGCGGTTTGCCGAGGCGAGCCCACGCTCGCGTGCGGATGTAATTTTCGGCATAGTCTGGGTACATCGAGCGAGATATCTGGTCTGGTCTAGTCTCGGCTCGGTCTTCACTCTGAGATCCAAGAGCACAGAAGGTTATCAGACAAATCTCCGCTTGTTGTGGCTAGCGTACAAAGGTACCCAAATCAAGAGTACCTTGCTTGCCCTCAGTATAGTCTGCTGCGGCATAGAGGGCACGTGACAGCGCATATGAGCCTGGATCTTTTGTCCTTGAATCGACACTAGCCGAGCTGCATCGTTGCGTGACGCTCGGAGACCGCTCCTGTATGAAAAGAGTGACAGCCGGTTCGTTAGAAGGCAAAGAGGCTTCGTGGTTGGCGCGGTGTACCCAGCCGTGCGGGAAGACGAAGCTCGTATTTTGCGTTGTTCTATAGCATTCAGTTGCCTGAATGGGGCAGCCGTCAATAAGGATGGTCGTCCCGATGTCGTCGCAGCCTCGCCCACGTGCATCGAGGTCAATGGCGGCATCGTGACTGAGAGCGCTCATGAAGGCTTTGACTCCCAGGTTGGGAGTATATACCGTCGTGGCTAAGCCATGCTTGACAGCGAAGCTTGCGAATGTTCCAACATGGTCGTGCACGTTGAACGTTTCGCACCGAATCGTGTCTCGATGGAGCATCGTCTGGAAGACGTGAAAAAACACAATCATCTTGTCTTTGTGAGCGTTACGTCTCGAAAGGTGCAGGAGCTCGAAGTCAAAGAAATCACAAATTGTAGTGTACTTGGTTGAGACATGCAGCTTTGCACTGGCTGCATGCTCTCGTAGGAGCTTTGCGAGCACATCCCACCGGCCAAGCACGCGGACTATCGTATTCATCTTGCGATACTTGCAGCTTTCGCGTGACTCATTACGATGACGGCATGGCTTCCAAAGTTCGTCTGATGCAACGTGCTCCACAGCGGCGACAGAAAAGTCATTCGAGACGATGACACGTTCCAGTCGAGCTCGCATCCTTGGGCACTCTCCACGGTCTGGGTTACTGTACTTTTCTTCGAGCCATTTTGCATCAGCTATGATGAACTCTGTTGCCATATCATTAAAAAATGGGGTCCATCTACCACCTAGGTTTGCTGTTGTGGGCACCTGCTCGATTCTCGGAATGGCATGTGAAGCACGTGCGGGGGCAACAACCACGCCACGGCGGTGTAAATACTGAAAGTCAGCCCAAGGGCTTGTCGGTTGCCACGCCGAGTCATTCCGAGAATTCATGAAAAATGCTGCGGCCCCTACACATGCTTCCTTAAACGAATTCTCGGGCTCGAGTACAGATTTTGGTCTGTCCGCGAGGTCCGAACAGAAGAGCGATACAGTGACTAATAAAATCGATTTTCTCATAACACGACGGCGCATGCCCTGACAAATCCTCAATCCGGCTACAGCGGCAGCTAAACGGTTTGATTGAGTTGCTGCTGGACCGAGCTAGAACCACGGAGAATGGCCTTCGTGGTTGAAATTGGCCGGGGGTTGGTGACGAAGCCGTGCGCAAGGTGCTCCGGGGGACAGCCGTCGATCGAGGCCTCCCTAACGCGATCGCCGGGCGCGTGGGCCCGAGCCACAATCCGCGGCCCACCATTATCAAAATGAGCAATGTATACAACAGTAGCACAGTCGCCGGACAGTGCACCCAGAGACCCCTAGGCTAGCCCCACTAACACTGCGTAGCACAGAGTCGAGGCGCCGGAGCGGCAGCCTCGGGAGCGACCAGAGCGTCGCCACACCGCCGCAGAGCGGGCGGCGGCGAAGCGCGCCGCCGGCGGTCCGCCGCGGCCTGGCAATGGCCGGCGACGACGACTTCGACGACGGCGGAGGTGGAGACCATCGTCAAGACAACAGACCCCCCATCCGATCCGGGGAGGGTCCACCACGCTCCCCTGGAGCCAGCCTGTAAAACGCCGCTGCGCATACTCAAAATAGAATACGAAGAATGAATTGATCTCGTCGACCGACAAGCCGTTACGTATCAATTTATTGAACTGAACTGCTAAATCGCGCATACCGCCCCGGTCCCATGGTGAAATCTCTGACCACCACTTGTCAAGCACTTCCTCCAGAAATGTCGTTATAACCCACGCATGGCCCTTGAAGCCCATGACTGCTCGCTTATCCTTAGCTGCTACGTCTATACCGTCCAGGTGACCGATGCAAAAAGTCTGATCCTGCTTGGCCCACTGACATACGATGCTAGCCAGATGCCACTCGGCGAACAATCCGTTTACGATCGAGCCCAATAAAGAGTCCTCTCTCGATGGTGATTTCGACGCTGAGTAAGCGCCCGGCATTATCTGGCTGACAACCACGCTCGACGAGACCTGCATAGATGCTGTCTCCGCATGTTGCTGAGTGTCGGTTCGCATGGATGGGAACAGGGGACCATGCCCCATTTGCGGGACTTTGCTCGGAAAATCGCCCCGAGACCTCCCCACCCGCAACAAATCCTCTGCGCCTTGCACTCCAGCACCCATGTCCCGAAGCACGCGCGCCGTCCGAGCGCCCGGCTCACTGGTGCTCTCGAGCAAGTGCTTAGAATACGCCTGGCCGGTGCCCGTCGTCACCGCCTCCCACACCTGAGAGCCCAGGTTTGCTACCTTAGTCGATGCATCTGCGATTTTGACCAAACCGTCTCCGCTCTGCTGAGACGTTCTGATGACTTCAGCCAGCTTGGCGGTGACGTGACCAAACACCGCCTGCTGAGGCGCCTGCGGGCCGTCCGCAAACATCGCGCTTATCATCTCCTCGTTCATCCCGATGCTCGAAATAGCCCGCTCCACCGCAGCCGCTTTGACGTCAAGGTTATAGGCATCGCCGGTAACGGACTTAACTCCGCTTGCCAACATTCTGATGTACTGATGCTGCTCTACCTCCCCGACAGCGCCGAAGAAACGCATAAGCATGGGAAACTGCTCAATCCGAAAGCGTCCTTTAAGATCGTTATGCTCCTCAAGCGTCCGGACCTTGCTCCGCGGCAAATCCATACTGTGCCGTTGCTGCGACTCACCGCCAGTCCACGCCACACAGATCATCCCACTGCGGTGGCACAAGACATTAACCTCGCGCCACTTACCGTTGATATCCGCATACACTGTCTTTGCCAGCTCCAACCCAGGCGACACCGGCGGATCGAAAACATGCGGTTGCTGCCGCGTTGGCGACACTGGGGCCGGGACCGGAGCCGGGGCTGCCGCTTGCTGATCGTGCTGGAACCCTCCGGGAACAAACGCCGTTGCTTCCGCTGATAAAGGTACCCCGCCTCCCGGCTGCTCCGCTCCAGCTAATGCTCAGGTTGTTGCCGGTTGCGCCGGCGCCGGGGCCGCTACTGGCGGCAGCCGCGCGCTAATCGCTGCGAGCGTTGCTGCCAACTGCTGCTGCCCCCTCATCAACTCCTCGAAATCCCGCTTGCGAGAAGCTTCTGCCACCTCGATATCCTGCTTCCGAAGAGCTTCTGCCTCCTCGCGATCTCGCTTGCGAGAAACCTCCTGCTGCTCATCTCGCGTGGCCAACATGCTCTGGACTTGTGCCGCAGTAACAGGAGCATTCAACTCCTTGTCGTTCACCCGAAAATCACCCACGACTGGGTCAGGTGCCCGCTCCTCGTCACATATCGAAAGCTCCATCTTCATTGCCGCAGCCCGTCTCTTAACAGCTTTTGTCACCTCGAGCAATGTCTGCCCAAAATCCTGGAAGACTGTTTGCTGCAGATGGTTTTCCCGCACCAACTGGTGCACCGCCTGGCCGACGTACTCCATCTGCTCCCCCTGCGAAAACTGATTCACCTCCAGGGGCATGTCCCCTCTAAATATCGCGTTAGCTAGGGGCAACAGCCCCGTCGCAAAGGTCACGGGGTCGGGGGTTTCATCCCCAGGTGAAGCCCGGGGCCGCCGCCAGCACCGCCCGCAGCGCCTCCCGCGCTGGCAAGGCCTCCGCCTGCTCGCTGAACGGGCGATCCCTCAACCCCTCCGGGATCGGATTGGTCCTGACCATGGCCGCCGCCTCCCGGCTCTACACTACGCTCCCCCAGAAAGAATCTCGCCGGTGGGCTGCTTCAGCAGCGCCGGCCAGATAAGAGCATAAGGAGCGAGTATCGACTGAGCTGCAATAATAAATAACAGCTCATTTTCTCTCTCTCCTTTGGGCGCTACTTTCTTGGCTAATCGAAGATTACCTGTACGAATAAAGATTGCTGCGTATACTCTCCGACCCTTTAGCCGAGATTGAAAGCTACTTCAGCTGCTGTGCGAGGCCAAGCTTCGTTCCAGTTCAGCCCGGGAATTTTGCGAATCAATTCGAAATGGCGCGGTATAAAAGCTAGTTTCCTGTGCCGTGGAGGCCTGCCCTTCTGCGCAATCCTCTGAACTGTATAGGCATCGCGTTGTGCACTCCCGGTTGATCTGCACTTTGCGCGCATATTTATCCAGGACCCACCCATTCACCCGTGACAGATAGAGATTCGCCGAGCTTATCTCTTTGCCTTTCCCTTTCCCGGCCTCCATCCGCGGGACTTTCCATGCCAGAAACATAACGCACAGCATAGTGTCGAACTCGATGAGGTCCTACGGTCCGCCACCGGGGCACCAGCGGCACAGTGCCCGCTGGCCGCCCCGCCCCTGGTCCGCTGCCCGCGAGGGCAGCGGACAGGTACCCAAAACATGACTGGGCAGGTCACGGCCAAAAACCCAGGAAGCCGGAACACGAAGACTGCCCCCTGTGCCCTGCGGGACTGGCGCCCTGGAGGCGGCGAGCTCCGCCCTCGACTGCCACCAATGAACGACGGCCACCAAAGACCGTTCCGCGTCCGACCCCGAAAGAGGCTCCGATCCTACCAGAAAAGGCTTCCGAGCTCTCCTCCCGCGCCTCTAGAGACTGGTCAGTAATCTCGCGGTCCCACCACCGCCTATAGACGCCCCTGCGCCCTTCGGCGACCGTCCAGCCGGAAGCCCGCGTAGTAGCAAGTATGTACATTCCGCTACACTACCGAACCGCATTTTAAAGGGGGTTTGGGCGATGAGCAAGGACAGCAACGGCCCATATAGCCTTCGGTTCATTTCTGATCTGTTCCGCGAAGTATAAGGGTCGAATTTGTCCCAAATTTGAATGCTTCGAAGTGACCTCCGTCTAATTTTACAAGTTGCAGGGCAAGCCCCTCATTCCGTGACCAGCCATACATTCCATCGTGATGAACAGCTTGACGACGAGCGCGGCCAAAGTAATGTTCTGGCCCATAGGCCGTCTTGATGAGCCTAGTCTCGGTAGACGCTTCCATATCGTCCCAATTGAAACTTATCTGCAGGCTCATGATAAAATTTGCAACCCGACTTACCTCTCCGAATTCATCAGCGTCGTTGGTTGCTTTCCACAATTCCCCAAAAAGGTCATCAGGCGTCACAATGTCGCCGACGTGGACTGCTGCTTGCAGAAATGTGCTCTATTACGGCACTATTCGCAGCTTGAATAAGAGAGCGGCGTACAAATTTGCTCGCTCCTCGAGCGCGGATGCAAAGACGGTCAAATCTGATGCCCTGGAATCATGTGGCATGGGGTCAACTAGCACCAAACTCACAGGCCGCATCGAATTCGAGATTTTATTGATTGAGAGAGCGAGTAGCGCACCAAAGGAGTAGCCTACGAGGCGCACGCCTCTTCCAGTGAGTCATTGCGAAAGCGCCGCAGTATGGTGTCTAGCTCAAGCATCAACATCGACAAATTATTATTGCTCACCAGAGGTCAATTCAGGCGCTTGCAGGGCGATCAGCGTCTGGCCCACTGGTAGCAAAGGCAGTAAGCCTTCCCCATACTAAAAGCCCAGTCCGTCGTACATAATGACAATCGCAGCTGTCAGCAGAGCACCACTCCTCAACGTGCCAATGAATGTATCAGAGACCTGCTTGATGACCCGGAACCTATGGAACTCGGACCTTGTTGCATAGCCCAACTCCCAAGCTAGTAGTTTAGCCGCTGGGGAGATAGAATAAGAAGAGTTCTTCAATTTCCACTTGTCGGCCAAACTGTGCGTGCGATTGTTTGAAATCAAAGAAGAACTCAAATGTTCACGCGGCCAAATGTGAACCTTGCGTCAATGCCTCAATTCTTGAGCAGCTTGGGGTCCGTTGCAGCCACACCAGCATCAATGGAAAACGATTGTACGGCGCTAGTGTCATAGGGGTTTGCCATTTGAAGCTCAAATTCAAGTCCCAGAAAGTCGGATATGGCGCTCAGTACATCAATAGGTCAGCAAACGAGATCCTCGTATCATACTCACGCACGCTGATCACCAGCAACCTCAGAAAACAACAGGATAATATTCTGATTGTGCGCAACCCACTCTGGCTCAGTAGTGCTCCATTCAACATCTGCTACTCTATTTTGAAGAGCTAGATTCTTCTTGGTGAGATCAATCCAAGATTCAATGCATGGCACTGGATGTCGAGATATAAAAAGATATTTTGCTCGCGCAAAGCAGGACTCGGCTTGGCGTAGCACGCGGATATCGCTCGAGTATGGCGGCGTCTTGTCGACAAACAGCTTCGGGATAGTCCATTCCTATAACTCGCGCGACACCTACAAGATGCCGATAGACAAGATAGCCGATGTCGCTACGACCATCTTGGCGCGCGTGGCATCTGCGCCTCTGAGTTCCGCGATAGCCTTGATCAGACCACCCGAGAGCCCCATTGAATCGGGGAGTGCCGCTTGACGTTGTTTCATCGTTTGAAACGGAAGAAGATAGAGTTCTTGTGGCGCGAAAAGCATAGAATGTGCATGCAAGCATAATTAAAGCAATGAAGATCCTGCTCGGGGCGTGGAGAGCACAAAGACCTGTTTGCGGCTGCACCGACGACAGACTGAAATAGCATCAGCGCTCGTAGACAGGACAAACAGAGACTCAATATTTGCCCCGGAAATCAATTCAGACTGTCGCTTTGGACCTCGCATCTCCTCGAGCAAAGCATCTTTGATTGCCCCTATCGACGGATTGCCCAAGATCAACTCGTTCGATAGCATGACTCCCGTGGTTTGCGATATGCTATTTCGGAACTCGACGATTGACAAAGAATCGAAGCCCAGGTCCATCAGCGTGGTATCATTTCCCATGTTGTTCTCAACTACAACCTACCCAGCCAAGGCGTCCTCGACAGCGGCGTGGACCTGGTCCTGAGTATTTAGCGTGCGAGTTTGACTTGGATGAGACGCCACGGTCTGTTGGCTACTCTCATCTGAGCCAGATGTACTCTTAGCATCGTGGTGCTTGGTCTCTTAGACTGGCAGCAGTCGTGATTAAGCCACTAGAAGTACTCACGCCCGCTCGAGCCTGGTTTTAGTAAAGTCTGGTCAAAATTAAACCGGGTTGAATGTGTTGGTCAGTTTACCATTGATTTCTACACATCTGGCATTCTATTTTGCTCGCACACTCTGGATAGCTGATATCAGATCACATTCCTGTTCCCAACAATACAAAGTAAGAAATAGTTTCAGATGCAATTTGCTCAAATTGAGAGGGTGTATGAGCAGTCTCGCCGCAACCAACCCCTTCTTACACGGCATACGGTGCTCAAGAAAATTCGTACACGGCATACGGTGCTCAAGAAAATTCGCCCTGACGTGACAAAATGTTCGTGGCGAGCTGCTTACTGCAAATGCCTCAGGTAAGCGATGAACTAGCATGACTGGGGATGAACATGAACATGCCCTTATTCATTGGTGTTTTGCTGAAATGCAGTGTACCATTTGAACCCAATCAAATGCTTCTCACTTGGTGGGTCATCTGTAAGCTAGCTTTTTTGTCTGATTACGCCGAACGAGTCATCCCTGGGTGCGATACAGCGAGCACGACACTCAATTCGGAAGATCGGTGGATTTGGCCACTCTCTTTCCAAGCCGAGCATGTGCGATGATGCCTGTAGCCCCGAACGAGCTCGCGCCGCAAATTGATGCACACGAAGCAAGAATTAAGTCCGTCGCAAGCTCCAATCATCTGTCCGCAACCATGCTCTACAGGTTTGGGTTTAATCAGCGAAGTTAGGCATTGGCGACGGTTACCTGAAATTCAAGCACTGTACTGAGATTCAGCAAGCCGCCAGCACCAGCCGTGCCTTCCATGTGGCCCAGATTCCCCTTCAGGGAAGTAATCGACACAGCAGAAGACTCGAACACGCCAGCCAATGAGCCAATTTCCACGGGGTCGCCCAGAGATGTGCCAGTCCCATGGGCTTCGATGAATCGAGTGTCGATGTCTCCAGCGCAACGTATTAAGTGCTGTTGCGATGACCCGTTCAACGCTGTGAAGGTCGCACTCTGACCGTTGTGCAGGCAGCTCGAACCAAGGTGCATGCTCTCCGTGTCGGATCTAACGGAACTGTTCACGATGCCAACGCAGCCCTCGCCACGCTGATACCCGTTTGCGCAAGAATCAAACGTGAGGCATCGACCACATGTCGATAGCATCCCAGCAATAGAAAACATCGAAAACGCGCCACGGGCGCTCAGAATCATGCTGCTGCCAATCGAGAGAGCATTGACACACTCGCCGTATTCTATCAGGCGCGCTGCGAGGTGCGTCGCGACGAGGCTGGACGAGCACGCAGTATCCGTCGCAACACACGGACCACGCATGGCGAGCACGAAAGACAGACGGGCCCCGGCTGCAGATATACCATTACCGGTCATGTCGTATGGACCAGGAATTCGCGATATCTGCTGTGTATTATCTTAATTCATCATACCGAGCATGACTCCAACGTCTGCGCTTGCAAGCGTACTTCAGGCGAGCGAGCTTCTCTACAGCGCGCGATATCCTATGTGTAACACGAGAAACTACTGTGGGTCCATCGGCGCTGCTTCCGCCGGTCGAATTCAAAAAAAAATGGCATCAAACGCACTCATCTGGTCCAAGAAAGCGGCGTATCAGAGACGCTGCTTTTGATCAGCATTGAATCCCCTCACTTCGACTGCATCCATGTCCCAGCGGGAAAGTGGCACTGAGCCCGCCATATTAAGCGCACCTTTCGAACATCCTACTGTATCAGCACTGTGGTGGAGACGAGGCGGAAGAAGAAGCGACATGGCCGCAACAAATACCGACCGGCTTTGGTCTTCCGCTTTTTAGTCTGCAGGACCGTCGATTTTTTTATCAGTTCGGTGGACGTCTTGTACTTCCAGGGACCGAGGCTTGGGCGTGAGATGTCGCGCTATTGATGCAATGCTCGGGTAGTCAAATAGCGTCGTCGCTGGGAGGTTTGTACTGAACTGAGTTCCAAGCTACTGCACAAGTTCGGCAGCCGAAAGTGAATCCAATCCAGCATCCATGAGCGGTGTATCACTATCAATATTGGTCTCTTTGAGCATTGACGAGACTACGGAGGTTACGAGGTTTTCCGCGAGTTCCAAAGTAATGCTAGTTGCGGGTTGGCGATGACTTACCGAAAGCATCGTACTTCTGGGATGAGGAAACGACTCGAGCACTTTTAGAACCTTTGATTCTCATGTTCGATGACCTGACGACCTCTTTTGATGCTCCTCATTGGCGTGTCCGCTCGCCTCAATGTTGAGCAAGGTCTCTTGAGTGAAATGCGCTTTGTTGCCCATACAATCAATTTCTCATTTAGTAATACCGCAGATAGCACGAGCACGTCAGGTGGCGTTCGTTCTTGCTATCTGAATGTCGGACAGCACGGCACTTGCAAGACCGGATGCCATGGCGTGATGCGCATCCAAGGTCAAGTCTTCCACGTACATGCGCGTTGAGAGATTGTGTCCGACGAGTCTCGGCAGTACGAATGTTGCCATCACTACTGGACTGAGGCCGTACGGCGCCACGCCCAGCCGGAAAATTGCGGAACGAGTGGCCACACGATGGTCTGTAGCCAGGCCCAGCAGCAACCCGCCACCGATGGATGATCCCTGAAGCACGGAGATTGAGAACATTGATGCGCCTCGTATCTAATCGAGGACATAACCGCTGCCGTAAATGCGCTGCGCTTTGATCCACCAAGGCGGAAGCAGCGATGCTTCTCTGTCGTACCGACCTCCAGTGCAGAAATGAGGGCCAGCAGCTTGGAGCACTAGAGCTCGAATCTTTGTTGAGGCAAAAACGGCCGCCAGGCCGATTCCAAGGCTTTGTAATAGCCTTGAAGTCATGGCATTGACCGTGGAGGGATCGTCGAGCTCGAGCTATGCTGTGCAAGTGTTATTCCATGCGAGGGTGAGGACGTCACCGCGTGAGGATAGTAGTCTGATACCCCCGAACATGGATACCGCGGCACTACTCAACACATGGTTCACATTTGCAGCTGATAGCAGGAGCCCATCCTCATTTGGTAGTTGCGATGCCTGATGCTGATTCTTCTGCTTGATCTCGCCAACGAGGCCCATTTGAGACGCTTCTAGGCTATCAGCTTGCAAAGAATTGGCACTGGTGTACATGACTCTGACATGGGTGGTAGCCACAATGGAAATGTCCTGGAGGCACAACATCGTGTCAAAAGTCAAGGGCCCTCGGGTGACTATTGTTATGCGAACTAGCTTCTAATATCCAAGTGGAGTAATGTCGGGGACGCTGTCCTGGTCAAAAATTGTGTGGACATCAACGGTAGCTCCACTTTTAGACGCAGCACCCAAGATCGCAGCCATGGAACGAATCTCTGCGGGCTGGAATCAAGTCAAGCACACGTGGATGACACCGTGGCTAGTGATGATAGCAGTGCAGACAGGTGAGTGTTATCTCTGTTGTTAAGTGGTCCTCATAGCGACGCTGACCTGAACGGCGGCTTTAGCTGTTACCTGGGTTGTTGTCAATTTGGAACACAACACTCCGGCTCAGAGAATTCCATTCTTCCCTCTGGCAGGTGACAGCAAACCTTAACCCTGATTTACGGTAAAGATGTAATCCAACATGCTTTGTTAATGGTATGTTTTGTACACATGAGACGGTTTGTCCGCCACCAGGATCACTGGGGTAGCTACAGGAGGCAAAGACAGTTCTCCCAGGCTGCTTGAGTGAATCAAGTCGAGAACGACACCTGCAGAATATTGTATCATCTGCTGTTAAATCTGGCTCAATCGAATCGACGGCTGAAGCACAATAACTCGGTTCGAACTCCAACAGCACGAAGATACTTCAATTCCAGGAATGCGCGCTGAAGGTGATATGAATGCCTCGGTCAACATTGCAGATCAAATACCTATACGAAGCTCGACGGCATTTGCACATTCCTCAAGGATGAGATCTAGACTTGAGGTAATGAATTTTGCCGACCCAACCTCTCTTTTTTTAGCCCTAGGCCGCGGTTCACTTCTTTGGGGGGGGAGGGGAAGCGGGCCGTGCTTTTTGCGCATCAATACCAATGTGTTTCAAGTGCCAACAACATCGATGCGCCACAAGATCAATATGCAGCTTCTGAGTTGGTTAAGCGCATCTCTTCTGTCGAAGGCAACCGCACTCTTAGACTATGCGTGAGTCGTCAAGCGTTCTCCTTGCCGATCGTTGATCGTACCGACACACCAGTCTGCGATCCGAGCGAAAACCACCTGTCCTTTGCCGGGTACCACAAGAATCGGAGACGCTATGTCCTCTAGAATGGGAGCAAAGTTGCTCCTACTTTGTTGCATCTTTTAACTCCATGCGCCATCGTTACTCCTGGAAAGAACAAGGGCACGGCACGTGATGGAGTGTAGCAAACTTGCCAGGAGAGGCGTCGCTGTCCACCCACACTCAAAACGCAGAACTTGGCCAGCCTGCCAATGCGCAGTGTGTGAAGAAATATCCGTGTAACATTGACAAGATCGTTTGACAAAACCAACAGCATTATTGATTTTCTGGCGAGACACACCTAAAAATCCATACTTCTGGCAGCACATTGAGACATTTCACATTGGGTGCTTTCACATATATGCGACGGACACACCAAGCGCGCCGGGGCGCAATGATGTCAATGCATTGACTAGAAAAGGACCGAGGCTAGGAAGTTTGTGCCCTCCGTGAAATGCACGAACGCCAGAGCTGGATCCAAAGCACCCCGCAGTCCGACCAACCATGTGCTGAATGTCAACGGTGTCGGCATCGCCGACCAAGTGAAGGGATGCCACATCGCCTGCAACCCCTTGGTAGAGGTGACTATGAGCAGGTGACGTCAGCGCGCAGACGCTGACTAGCAATCAACTCCGGAAACCGGGCCCAAAGTCGGAAGTCTATTGAGTGAGGAGAATCGACGCTACAGTTCCACCTTCGCTGATCCCTGCAAAACCGTGGATGGGGGCCTGGTCCCTCACAGTTCAGGTCGCGTGCGCCATAGATGCCATCCAGTCTTTTCGGAGTCCGTATCTATCATCATTGTGGTCTGTCGCTCTACGAATTCAAGCAAACATCTCAGCTTGGCTGGCACTGGTCAGGGAATACTGCGAAATCAGGCGCCACGACCGCGACTTCCGTGGCTCGTACCCGAACCGCTCACGCAAGAAGAAGCCACCAGCTCCAGATGAAAAGTCGGCTCCTTGACTAGGGGCACTCGCCGTCACCCACTGAATTGTTCAGCTTGAATTCCATCCCTTGTGATTCATTGAGCAGACCTAGAATTCTGCATACGCGTCCATACCATGGAAAAATACAAGGTGAAGTGGTGATCGAAGAGGTCGACCCTGGCCGCTTGTAGGCACTCGCAAATGATCAGAATCCGTCCACGTTCTTTGTATGCGCTTCGAGAGATCCGTTTCTGGCATAGAGATAAGGCTTGCCGGATTTTACAAAGGGTAATGACGCCCAAACTCTGAACTAGTTATAGAAATCTCGCAGACGCCACTGCCTTCGAAATTAGTGCGACGACAGTGGAATTAATGATGGACCATGCCACCAGATCAGAACACGGTACGTTGAATCTCACCACACGCACCAGACAGTCTTGTGCTACAGTGATCCATCCCTAGTGAAATACGACAGGCTGCAAGATTTGGTGCCATCCCGCAAGACCAAAAATTTCCGGTATCGTTCAAGCGTAGAATTCTCGTGTTGGCGGAAAATGCGCACGATGCGCACGGACTTAACAGGACCTCAGGCCGTGGCACTAACGTGATCCCAATCCACCCAGACAGCTCGATGTAAGAAACTGTTGATCATTGAGCGCGATAGAATGAAGCTGGCTTGACATTTAGGGGCAATCCCAATGCCAGGGACACAAAGGCCCCATGTGCAATGGTCCCGCTGAATCCAAACGAGCTCAGACGGCCGTCGGGTGATCGCTGGTTGCCCTCTCTAGGCAATGTTTCAGGAGGCATCTCAAATCACGAGGACACAATCGAAAACAAGTGCACGTTCAACCTATCGTGTTCGGGATCCGACGAGTCCAACGCCAACGGCAAGCAGACAGCTTGAGCTGCGCGTTGATAGCGACAACGGACATACTCAAGGGAACAAGCGCGAGAGACGCCAACCCAGCGGCAGCCGCCGATGGCTCCAGGTGACCCATGTTTGATTTCAAAGATGCGCATTATAAGATCTGCGAGTTCGCACGCAAAGCTCCCATAGCCGCTCCCACCTGAGAGAACCGTCTCAGCCCAGCGTTGAATAACCCAATAAAAAGACCTCGATCGGATCTCCGAGTGCCGTTCCCGTGCCGTGCGCTTCTAGTGCTCCGTCTATGGCGCTGCCGTCTCACACAGCTTCAATCAGTCACCTTTGTGAAGAACCATTCGGTGCCGTCAAGCTCGCGCTCGGACCATCCTATTACACAGCCGTGCCGAGGTTCTAGACATTTGAGCCTGCCGAGAACAACAGGAATGCCCCGCATCCCTCGCCACGGCAATACCCGTCTGCTCGGCGATCAAAAGTGTGGCAGCGCCCAAAGGCGGAA